AGCGAGGTCTCTGCCACTGAAATGAATTCAGCAGATCTCAATGTACTTTTACTCAGTGAGAACTGAAGGTTTCTTAATGCAGCTTCACACACATTTTTTTTGCTTTGGACTGGGTGGAGTTCGGGAAGAAGCCAAAAATGTCCTTGCTTCTGTAATCTGCAGTTAAGATCAGTTGAATTTAGTTCTCAAATGTGACTTTTTCCATTAGCTTGGGTAACTCTAAACACAAGTTAAGTGATGTAGTGCTCTAGCAGAGGAGCTACAGAGGTTACAGTTTAGTGGGACTTGGAACATGGAAATCCAAACCTATTTAAAATTGTAAAAAAAAAAATTTACAATATTCCTTATCTTCCGTATTTCTTGCCTGCTTCTCTGAAGAGTAAAGAAGCCTGAGTTGCTGTTTGATTCCTTTATTTTCAAGCATCTTTATCGTTTGGAGACTTACCTCTCTGAGACCTGCTAGTAATGCTCATAATGCACAAAAGTACTGCCACTGCCAAGACATAGTGTTAAGAGACTCAATCCACACATTCATATGCTTGACTGTTTCCTGCAGTAGTTATCTGATAACATTTCCACATTAATTTATAGGATCAAATTCTGCAGTCATTGTGTAAAGGTAAAATTCTGACTTCAGCATTGCCTAAGATGGAACTCAAAATCTTTATGGTGTTGTATACAGCCACTTTAATTCCGAAAGCTCTTTGTGGACTACAACATGTCCATGGGCTACTGCTTATGCAAGACAGTTGTACTGTGGCTGCATGTTCCCTAATGAGATTAGGCAATCAGTTCATATAATCATTCTGTTGACTGCTTTACTGCCCGTAAAAGGACATTTATATAACTTACCTGCACAGAAAACCACATCCCTTCTGTTTGAGAGATGAGACTGATGACAGACTGTGAACTTCCACGTGTGGTTTTGGAGCAGCAGCTAGGTCTTGTTTTAATTAATACCCTGCAGCAACTTTGTCCCAGACTGTGTACTAATTTTTTATGAACAATAATGACTCTCGTATCTTCACACAAGGCATTCAACATTTCCTCACAATACAGCTTTTCTTTGAGGAGGTATTGCTAAACCTCAACAAAGCTGGGAAGCACTCTAGAGAACTTACTAGCACTACTAGAGTGATGCCAGCTGTCAGAGTACATGGAGGGGAAAACCACTTGGCCAAGAAAATTAAAGGCAACTACCAAGAAGATACCATATCAAAACTAGAGAGGACTGAGGGGCAAAAGGTAGCTCTTAGCAAGAAGAACAGGGGACAGTAGAGAGATAGCGGAAGAAGGGTGTTAAGTGTTGGGAATGTGAGAAAAGCAAAACAGTGAGAAATCTGTAAACCACACATTTCCTTGACACAGGGTGCCCAGAACAAGCACAGGATAGGATGAAGGTCCAGTGATTTGTGTTTTGTTGTGGCGCCAAGGAGGAATGTGCAGCAGGGTGTAGGCCGTGCCATCCCATTCTTTCATGTCAAGGAGAGATTTATCTTCTGCTCTACTTTTTTCTTTCAAGGGATGATTTTTGCAGTAGCCTACTGGCCTTGTTCCTCATCCTCCCTTTTTTCTTACAAAACCCAGCTGCATCCTTCACATTAAGCCAACCTTGTTTCTCATCCTCCCTTTTTTCCCACAAAAACCAGCTGTACCCCTGGCACCAAAGAATACACAGTGTTGTTACTCAAAAGCTAATGGCTTGACTACAGTCCCACCCACTCACACATAACTAGGATAAATACTACTCCAGGTTTTCACCTAACTTGGAGGGATGATAATCTGACACCAAATCGGAGGGACAGACTGACAGGTTTGTGCTCTTGCCCTGCCCTCCCCAAGAAGGGATGCCTTTTAGTAAGATTTCCTCAGCTACGCCAGGTGTCTACCTGGGAACTGTGTGTGTGTGATTGCAGTTGTTTTTCTTTTGTGTAGTGCTGTATAGCCAATCTGCAGTTTGTGCATTTATCATAGGCAACCTCTTAAAGAATCTGTAGATGTTGCCTAAACATGAACTGTACTGTTCGTAAATCTGCTTCTTCTGAATGCAACCAAACCTACAGCACAGGGGCTATTCATGCATCCAGGTCAGACCTATAGTCACGGCCCCAAATGTCATACCCATTAAGGGATAAGTCCAGCTGCCCCGAGCCCCCCTAGTCTCTGAGGACTGGTGAGAACACAAGGGGATTTATCTCTTACTAAATTTATTCTCACCCTAAAAGCAACAAAAGGCCACATTTTCTTTGGCTCAACACCCAAAATCATCACCATCATTATCAACAACATCAAATCAGGCAGGTGAGTAGGAACTTGAATGTTCTCATCCACATCTGATGTGCAATGAGGAGAGGGGAGGATAAGTTGTGCAATACCTTCATCACCTGACTGTTAGTGCTGGATAACACAGATCTCACACAAGCCCACTCCAGAACCTCTTCTCTCCTTAAGAACTGTTGTGCCTACTGCTGGCTACCAAATTTTACACATAGAAAAGAGCAGTTGATGCCATGCTAACTAATCAGCAGAAAAGGTACCGTTTTCTTTGTGCTTCATGCTGTTGTCAATACCAGAAGCAAAACATTGCATGTTAGCTCTAGCCTTCCTTGTCTGAAAGCAGTAATTTCATGGGGCAGTCCTTCTAGTGAAGAACATTTGCTGGCACCATTTGTAATGAAAATAAACAGAGAAAATTAACTTGGGCAATAGAAACATCCAAAGGCCATTTCCTTACTGAAAAATGCCATAGCTCAGGGATAAAAAACTGATTATGCCAGCCAGATCCAGCTGTCAGACAATGTCTCATTGCTCTTCTTCCCAAGAGTCCCAAAGTCCTCACAGAAGTGTATCTGTTGTATGAACAAAACATATGGAGAAGACTAGTGAATCTGGTCACAAAACAGGGATGACTAGCATGTCCCACCACAGGGAAGAGCGTATCTAACAACAGATGACTGGATACATGACAAACAGACAAAATACATTTGTTTCCCATTTTGTTATCAGACTGAGACATGAGTCCCCAACAGTTTACAGAAGGCTGAGGAGGACACTGAATGGATTTACATGGGGTTTTTTAAGCGACAAAACTATATCCATTAAACCAGTCGTTGGTGGTTTTATTCTTAAAAAAGTTTGTGGGACCCTAAGTTTTTTAGGCTTTAGTTCAGAAGCCAACTGAAAGCAGTCCTGTTCATCTTAGCTGCCTTTTGCAGACCACTTAGGAGGTGGTTCATGGTTCGCCATGTGCAAATCTCTCGTGTATTGTACAGATACAACCATTGCATTATGCATTGTAGTTGTAGGCGTAACTAATGAAATCCACACAGTGTGCTTAAGAACAATGGAGCCTTTGTTTTTCTCCTAAATAATCAAGGAAACATCAAGGACACTTGCTTTCTCCATGTTCTTGAACAAAATCCTATTTTAAAAAATTGCCTGTCTTTTCATTAAGACACAGATTTGGCTGAAGTAACTTGGAGGCTTCATAAACAGAGGGAAAAAACGGACAAATCTCTTTCTCTGAGCAGGAGCCTCCTAAGTAGATCCTGGAGATAAATGCTTTGGCCAAATCTGTGAATTTAAACCGGATTATTGGGTGTCTAGATTGAAGGCTGACTGGGGTCAATTTTGCTATCAGGCAGTTTTGATTAAGGTGTACTGAATTTCTCCAGGAGACTTATTTATTTGTTTGTTTCCTATTTGGTGTAGTGTGCGGAGAACTTCTATTTCTTATTTTGGCACAGAATTTTTATAGCTCTCTGGGCCTCCTGAAGTGGCTATTCAGCATTAGAAAGATTAAGATTCATGCAGGTAGGAAGCTACAAAAATTACAACTACAAAAAATGCTAAATCTGTGTATTCACACAAGAATAAGATGTTCTAGATTAATAACAAATTAAGAATATGTGATGTTCAGACTCAGTGACAATAAGAACCAAACAGTATGTGGAAGTAGTAGACAGCACATTTCACGATTTGATGTTTTAATTCTTAACAAATGAAGAAACTAATGGTGGAAAAAATTAGTACAAGTTTCCCAAGGCTGTGCAGCCCATCAGTGGTGAAGCTGGGAATACATTGCAGATCTACCATCTACCATCTACCCAGCAACACTACTTCTGTCTGCAACCTGTGCTAGCCTCCAGTGCTCAAGCTTCTCAGGCTGCAGATCTACTGCTGTGCCCAAGTGCAGACCTCCAGCACAGCCATGCAATAGCGCGGGCATCTGGCCCTGTGGGAGATGTTTCTCATGACTGAAATCTGTTGAGAAGTTCATCAGGTCACCAGATGCTATTTCCTTGATGCTACTGGTCCTACCTTAAGCGTAAGAGATCACGTGGTTTAGGTTAGCTATTGATAGAAGGCTGCTGCCTTCCGTGTGGCACATTTACCCAGTTGAAATACAGTGCTCCCTGCCTCACTTCTAAATGAGACCTAAGGCAGTGAACAAGAGAAACTGTAGTAACTTGTGGCAAATGCAGAAAACACAGGCATGGCTGTGCAGAATATAAGGCAAGAGCCTCATATCCAGTGTCTTAAAATTGTCATTTGCATTTTTCACTATAATTGTTTTCTAATACCTGAAGGACAATACTTCATCACACCTTCTGAACTTTGAGTTGGACAGACATAGGGACAGCGTGGAAGAATAATTAAATATTCTGTATAGCTCAATATAGATAGTGTTAAAGTCCAGAAGTAAAGTCCAGAGGACTACAAGAGATATGAAATGTGATATCCATTAAAGGATCAGGAGCCCAGCATCCCTGAAGATCCACTTATCAAATAACGTATCACTAGGTTGATTTACAGTACTTTTTATGGGGTTGGAATTCCACAGCGTTGTCCTCTCTGGCAGAGAGTAAAAGCTTCTCCATCCAATTTGTGCCAAGTGGCATCTGCCTTGCTCCCATCCTTTTCATTCTAACTTTTGTGTACCAAAAAACCATGGAAGACATTGCTACCCGTTCTAATCCTGCCCTCTTTACTTTTTGCAGGTGAACGACCTTTTGAATGCAACTGGCAAGGATGTAACAAGAAGTTTGCTCGCTCTGATGAGCTGGCCCGCCATTACCGCACTCACACTGGAGAAAAGAAGTTCAGCTGTCCTCTCTGTGAGAAACGCTTCATGCGCAGCGACCATCTGACAAAGCATGCCCGTCGCCATGCCAATTTCCACCCAAGCATGCTCAAGACGCGAAGTGGAAGCAGCTCCAGAACAGGGTCTGTCAGTGACTACAGCCGCTCAGATGCCTCAAGTCCAACGATTAGTCCTGCCAGTTCCCCATAGACCTATCTGCACTGGATGTCAGCACTTTGCCTCTGATACCTAACGTGGAGTTCTGTTTGTGTTGCACACATTAAAAAACCTCTGTTGCTTCCCCTCCTCAGTTTCCCACAGCCCCCGTTTAAAAAAAATAAATAATAGCTGCCTCCCACTGCAATTTCCAGTCAAATTTTCTTCCCCCAACCACACAAGTGGCTATTCTAACCTCATGGACAGACAGACTTACATGTTACACTTAGTGACTCCTGCTGTCTCAATATTTCATACATTTTGCAACCATTTACAGATCCTCTTGATTATTCTTTATAAGAAAATGAGAAAATCTGAAAAAAGAAAAACGACCCATTTAATTCACCTCAGGTGTCAGAGTAGTTTTGTAAGACCGGATTGCACAACATGAGCATACATACACTTAGAAATCAACTGTGTTGGATTGTCTCCCCTTCTCCTTTCTCAGGGATGGATATTTATGTTACACAATAATTACAATGAAGACACACCCTAACCACAGCCTTACTCTGTAAATATATTTGCACTCAGAAGCTTTTTGTTAAATTCTTTCACACACTGGGGAAAAAATAACAAACAAACAATACAAAAACCAAACCAGTACTGGAATGTAGTACCAGACTCTTCCATTGTTTGTTTTCCTGATTATATACCTACACTGGGGAGTGTCCAAAGAGGAGTCTTGTCTTTCTTCAAGCTGTCCTTTGCTTCTGTTGGTAGCAAGCCGTCATTTTCACTTCTCGCTGAAGATGCTCCAAAACCAACTTCCTATTGCAAAAATCTCTGTGAAGTTGATAAACTTACTCGTTTGTTTCATGCTAGATAAATTTCTGAGAAAAAATCCTCAACAAGATGCCTTAAGTAAATAATCTAAATCATGAGGAAACTTATTTACACTGGGTAACATTTTATTGCAAGGTGGCATGGAATCTCGGAGGCGTTCTGTCATCGCTCTCTCCAAGTTGTTAAGCTCTCTGCTCTGCCTGTTCAGTATGGGACCAACAAAATGCTAGAATCAAACCACACTGACTTGAATAATCTCCTTTATTATTTTTTCCTTTTTGAAAAACGAACTATGGAAACAGCATAGCTGAACAAATGCCCACCAAAACTTTTATCAAGGTACTTACCTACTGTACAGAGGATCTTAGCAAGACAAATTGGCTAAGACATAGTTTCTGTATCCTGTTGCATCACAGTCGTGGTTGCTGATAAAAGGAAGTGAAAATCATAAGGTATCTTCTGACAGGGAAAATAAAATATGCATTTTAAAGTTTTAAAATAAATTACATTTTAGCTCAGCAGTACTACAGGTTTCTCAAAAATACACCGACCAGCGTAAAGTGCTCTCATTTCTGAATTGCTTAATAACAAAAAGGGAATCTTGGCTAGTTTTCAGTAACTTTCAAATATTTGACACTAGATTGAGCACTAGGAGGTAGATTTTTATGTTTCATATGGTAGAAAATACAGCAAAAAACCAGGAGGCGTTGTAATGTATTGGAGACCTCAGTGGCAGCAAATACACTTTACTTGGTTTGGCTGGGTCTGATGGGGCATATTATAAATTCAGGTCCTTTGTGTTCTGGAATTTTTGGGGTTTCTTATTTTTACTGGAAGGTATAAATGCAGTTAAGTGTAGCATGGTAAAATGAAACTATGCCAGCCTGCCATTTGATATCGAGTGAATGTCTCTGGATTCCAAATGAACCTGTATCTTGCTGCTTTGCATTGATCCAATTTTGCAAGTGTTTATTGTACTGTATATTAACTGTGAGAGGCTCTAATACAGATTTCCAAGTAGTTTCATAGGTACTTCCATAATATTTACATTATTCCTAATACTACGCATTCTGTTAGTTGTATGGATAAATGCTTAAGTGACAGTTCAAAGTGCAGATAATTTCAGTATTCATGTTAATTTCCTTCAGATTTCACCCCTGTAAAATCACAATTTCCCCCTTTTGAACTGAAAGTCATGTGAGGCCCAATTCTACTGTTTCATTTTACAGAAGAGAGAACATTCTAAGGGTTTTTTGCAAGATGACAAATATTTTTGAGATTGTGTGATGAGTTGCCTAATCAGTGTGAGTTAGGGGAAAGCCAGATTTGTTTGCCTACATATATTTCCTGTTTTCTGTTTTTTCTTTAAAAAAAAAAAAATCTAATGTACCTGAGGTACACAGTTTTAATAACTTGATACAATTCAGGTAAGTTCAGGAGTTCACATTCCAGTGATTTCTGTGACTGCTAAAAGTGCTCTTGTGCTGTAGTTAGTAAAGAGGCATTTAAGATACTTAGCTAAAAGAATTCTACAGGTCAGCTGTATCTTGTGCACATACTTTGAAACAAGTCATAAACACATTTCTCATTATACCTTAATAGATGGATGGGGGGAGGGGACACAACTCGAATCAAATAACTTGAAAAATCATAGGCTTCATGTTCAGTTTGTTCTAAAATCATCTTTTCCAACAAGAGCATCATTTAATCTTTTAGCAAAAGATGAACCACTCCAGTCCTTTTATTTAGGGCATAATAATTCAGCGTGAATCAGTAGGTGCATTACAAACCAGTTGTTTTAATACCCTGGAGAAAGAATATTCACACCAGGTTTTATTAGTACTGAGATTATGGGATGTAAAGATTATGGAACAAGTTATTCTGAGTGACATAAGAACGATGTAATCTTGAACTCAAACAGTAGACTAAGCATTTTATATATATTCCTCATAGATATTGCTAATAATTCTCCAAGTTTAAGCAGAAAAAAAAATTGTTTCAAAGTCAAATTTTCAGTTCAGCCAGTTCATCTAATGAGAAGGCTATAGTCTATATATAGCCAACATAGCTACACTTTCAGGAAATCTCTGAAATTTGTCATTAAGTCTTTTTTTACATCTTAGCTGTAAATACCTCACAGTGTGTTAGGCTGACACAGTCAAATTACTGTGTTTCAAAATCCTAGCTAGAGTTTCAAATATCTCCATTAAATGTTTAATACATGATAGCTTTAGGATAAAATGATGAATTCAAAACCATTAGTAGTTTCAAAACTGAACATGAACAAAACATCTCTTAAAAGTTTTCATATGGAAAGAGAGTGTTTGGGGTTTTCTAGCATCTACTAGATGCTAGAAAAAAAGCAGAAGCACCAGCAAGGTCATAAGACACCATTGTCATCATGGTTCCTCCCGAGTTTTGCAGATGTGAGAAGTCTAAGCAGCTCAAATTATGTTTTGAAATCAAGGTGCTTATCCAAACTAACCTCCGATTTTCACCCTTTTGTTGTTTCACCCTGTGGTGTAACCTAAACCAGTCTCCTGGCACAGCAACAAACATTGCACACTCAGGAAATACTGCTCTGGCAAGGTGCAGATTTATTCACAGTCCTCCATTTGGAGGAGCATGCATCGCTCTCTTTCTGCATCCTCCTTTCCCCATGCAATCTGTTGAGGTGATTTTCCACAAACTACAAAATTGCCCTCTTTTTTTTTTTTTTTTCTCCTTTAATTTCAGAATAGAACAGGTTTATTTTTATTAAGAAAGCCCTGAAAGTTTGTTTGTTTTTCTCCAGTCATGATTCTAGCTTCCTCTCTAAGAGTTAGGTTTAACTGCCTTGTTATAGGAAATGGGTGCAAGTTAAAGTCACCAGTCAACTGAAACTAAAGATGCTCTTAGAGACTCATTCACCCCTTCCATTAACCTCATCCTGTGCAAAGGCCTAAAGTGCATTTATGGCCACATGAATTCAGTTTTCACCCTGCTTCTTAGGAAGCAGTCCTGGTAAACTCCTGGCAGCTAGATTTTATTGTGAGAATTGTTTATATCTGTAAATTAGTTGTTCCTTGCTTTTATAATACATGCATAGAATCTGTTTACATTACGTAACTGCAAAGGTATATATTTATAACAAGTCATCAGAAGCCTCTGTTTGATGGTAACACCTAATTCCTATATGTATCCTACCCTCTTTACTGCATTAACCCTTGCAATAACTTTTATCTATGAGAGCCTCTGTACACCTTTAAAACCTCATTACCTTCTATCCAGATGTTCAGTGCTTTCCTTGTTCCATGCAGCCAGGCAGTAAAAGGCTGTGTGATAAGCTTACCTGTGTCTAGCTATTCACATTCTGCCTTTTCCCAGTTCTTTGCCATGAGTTCTATGATCTGTACCGGGCGAAGTGCACTGTCGTTTTGGGGAACATGGTTTGTGAAGAAAGAATAAGGAAAATGAACTCTGCATACTTACAGCTTGCCTTTTTGTTGCCATTTGATTTGCTAATTTCATCAGGTGATGCCTACAGACTGACTTTCAGGTGCTCTTTTACTCCATCACACCATCTGTTTGTGCATTGGGTGCTAACATATGGTCTATGTCAGTGAATGGTATGATGAACGTCTGTATTTTAAACTCTTTTGGGGATAAAGCTATAGCCTTAGGCAGAAGAAAATAACCAAATGATAGTTGTTTACCCCATAAGCCAGAATTTAGAATGCAAAAGCCCATCCACTGGTATAGATTTTTTTTACAAATATATATATATATATATATATATAAAAAAATATTTATATATGGATTTATATAAGCATATGCACATATATATATAAAAACATGTATATATGTGTGTATTGTATTCTATGTGTGTATATACAAAAATACACAGCAGTGTGTATATACTACACACCAAATAATGAAGGGATCTCTACAGACAAAAAATAGGTATCCATTTCATTATAAGTAGCGAAGGGTCTGAACCAAAATCCTAGACCCAACGCCATTGCATTTGGGAAGTTTGAACGTGCTTTTTGAGATTTGTGGTTGAGTTTCATCTCTGGCTACAGCTGCAGTTACTTGTGTATTTATGCATTCTGAGGGACGTGTGTGTGTGCACATACCTACTTTTTTCACAAGTGTATGCCTGTATGGGTGACAGAGAGTATGTGTGCCAGTAAGTGTGCACGTGTTTACATATATACTTCCAGCTTTGGTGAACTACAATGTTACCGGTGTCATCTTCACTTGTACAGTTTTTATCAGTAGCACATGAATGCTTCCTGCTTTTCAACTCTTTAAATCACTACATTGAAGTATTACAGTTGTACAGTTATATGTTCATCTATTCCTGCTCTGCTGTAACTTTTTATGTATTTTGTACTGCATAGATTATATATTGTGATAATGTCCTATGCAACAACAACAAAAAAGAAAAAAAAAAAAGGAAAAAGGAAGAAAATTAACAACTGTAAAATATCATCTTAACTTGTATGCATGGATAGTAACGTTTACATTTTCCAAAATAAAACTTATAACTATGAAATACTGGTTTCCTCTTAACTTTCTTCTCTGTGTATCATTTAAAAAGCATCAGTTGTTAGTATTTCTGCTGTTCATTTGAGGCTTCATATCTTGTTTATAGCTTTGTTTAAATTTCACTCAGTGCTATTGTTTGGGCTATTTTTTTAAATCATTGAAAGCTTCTGTGATGCTTGGTTTTACTCTCCTCTGCTTTAACTGGTATTTTATAGTTCCATAGTGAAATTTGTTTCTCAAAGCTGATATATACTATGCTTTTCTTTACAAGATGGTTATGGTATTAATATGCATGACTTAACCATCAGAGAGTCAACCATCCTTTCTTTCAAAGCCCAGTTCTTTGGAAATTTCTGGTTTCATGTCTGCAAGTGACAAAAGTTTTATCAAAACAGTAGTAATTTAATGTCACAGCATCCTGAAATGTTCTTCCCTAATTTTAAATATAAGGAAATTGCAATATGAGGTTTGAGTGACTTTCTTGAAGACGTGAGGCAATGGCAGATGTGTGCCTTTATCCTCCCTTGAAAGTAATACCACACCCCCAGGAAAACAATTTTGTGTCTTATAATGAATATCTGTCTATAAAACATTATAACTGATTGCAAAAATAATTTAAAACGGTGGACTACTGTTGAAAGACGAGACCTAAAATAACTATACTAAGCCAGGGGAAATTGTGGTAATTACTTTAAAATTAGTACATTTTCTTGTGCAGGGGTCATGAAAACTGTTCAGAGAAAATAACTTGGGAAGCCATTATCTTTAATAGCAGGTTTCCCCATGTATTCATTACAGTGTTGAACTGTCAGTGATATTCATTATCTCTGACCATGTGCCAGTTAGCTTGTACGTCTGTATGTGTCTATGATCGACTGCTATTTTATGACTTACACAGAGGAACTAGCTAAATCACACAAATGCCTAACTATGTTAATGCAGTATTTAAGGGCTCGCTATCCAAGAATAACATAGTCTTTGTGCATACAGTAAATAGCCCTGACTCTTTTATTAGTGAAACCTCACTGAAACAGAAGACAAAATGCTTCTGTCCAGCAGAAAACCACAAGTTTGTTCCTTTCTCTTCTGCTTACATTAGCATGATGTGGCCTCGCACTGCTTACTCTCAATGTCTGTGTTACAACTGGGAAATCCCAGTCAGAGGACTCTCTGATGCAATCAGGTTGTGAGAATCCCCAGGCAAAAACCCTGGTAAACCATCTAATACCTGAGTGAGTTCAAACTCCCTTGCAGACCTTGTGTGTAAGTCTGTCCATTGAACAACTTCCATCTCAGATCCACTGAAGTAACTAACATCACCTTACTCCTGTCAGTCTTTCCCTTAATGCTTCCTCAGATGTCCTCTCACCTCATTCACAAGTCTCAGTTCAATTTTCACCCTTAAACAGACAGGCTAGGCAGCTGCTTTAGAAGTCCAGTCACTTTTTGTTAGTACGAAAAGGGTGTGACATGTCCAACCTCTGCCGCTACCCAGTTTTTTGGCCACTTGCTCTATCTGAATTCACTGTTTGTACTAGGGGGAAAGGTGGTGAGGGGTCTTTTTTTCCACTCATGCTGGAGAAAGTCGATACAGACTCTTGCTCTTCTCTTCTGTGAAGCAATGAGTCTGAAGTTTCATGAAAATACAGGTTACACAACACTTCTCGCATTATTTGTGAAAATAGGCCCTGAAGAGTAGCATTTCTGAAGTCTTCCTAGATGAAGGATCTACCTCATGTTTGAAAACAGAACAGCAAAGACTGTTTTCTAAACTTCCTAGAAGAATAAAGAGAAACAAATCCTTCTAAAAGGATATGCCTTTTCAGTTTAAGTGTGGAGCTGTTAACCTTGGCACTGTAGTGTTATGTGCCTCCCCGCCCAGACACCCACACTCTGAAATGTGTACGTTAACACATTCTCACCTGCAACCTCGCAGGTTGCTAAATGTATGGGTTTCTGTCTTGCCTGTGACTCAGCATTTGCCATGAAATGTTGATAGACTTGGCAGTAGTCCATCAGTTCAGAAGAGAAGCAGTAATACTGCTAGAATTAGATGGGATTTTCCTATTTACATTCACTTGTGTATCATTTCTGGCTTCAAAGAAGCCAACCTTAAGGTTCATTGCCCCAGCTTTTCAAGGAACCACACCCATGGCATGCTTTGCTAGTCAACTGCAAGAGATTAAAATGATAAAAATAGAAATACACAGTCAACAGAAACAGAAAGAAAACCAAGAGATGATAGAGACTGAAATTAAAAAGAGGTGAGGACAACGAGACAAGTTGAGTGTTTCTAGCAGCTGACCAGAAAGGCTGATATGGCACCAGAATATGTGTGGGGCTTCCTAAAGAATTTCAGAGGAAGCAAGCTTGGCAGTATCTCCAAAGACGACCAGAGACTGCATCATCTGTTCTATGAGCAGTAGAGGAGGGAGTTTAGTCAAACTAATTCAAGCAGGCCAGCACACGTGCTTAGCTAGCTGGAACAGCTAGCAATACAAAGAGAGAGGGAAGGATTATTTTAATAGATTTCTCAGTCCATGCACAAGACAAGGGAGGAGAGTCTTGATGCCCAAATATCTGAGCAGCAAGAGGAGAAGAGGGAAGCATAGCTTTGGGAGCCAGATTCATTCTTTGGGCAACTCAGGGAACAAGATTACCTGAAAAAGTTTGGAGAAAAAACAGTTAAGTAAAGATCTGAGAAAACCTGAGTGGGGTTTTAGGCAAGAACAGGCCCCAAAGGTCTGCTAACAAAACCTAAACACCAAGCTTAGTAACAACTACCTCACCAGTAGAAAACAGCTCCAGAGTATAATTGCTGCCTCATCATAATTGTAAATAAGACCAACCTGTCCTACCTGGTTGGCACTGGCAGGAGACAGATTTAATCTTTGGATCCCACTGGCTGGAACAATCGTTCAACATGAAAAGAGGAGTTAGCATCAGGGACTGGGCTATGAGAGGCTCTGAGACACTGTTGCTGGCAGGTCTCTGCTGAGCTGATATTTCTTCTCCGCATCACTGGATAAATGTGCCTCCCTGAGCGCACGGCAGCAGGCCTGAGCCTGCTGCACTAGGACTTGTAAGGTGCACTCCAAAGGATTGCAAAGGCTTCCACTGCCCAGGCTGGCTTGCTCAGAGCTAGCCCAAGTGTTCTCCAGGGCACCCAGTACGTCTGAGACATCTCCCAGAGGGAAGGTGCAGTATGCCAAGTGGGTGGATGAGAAAACACCATTGAGAAAAAACGCCCAGTTGAAGGTGCTGGTCAGAGTTTCCGATGTATGACAGCATAGTAAGAGAAAGGAGATGAAAAAAATGTGGGAAACAGAGATGAAAGGTGCAATGAAGGGGGAAGGTAAGGTTAAGAGGGGGAAAATAAGTATAGAAAAATGAGACAGGAGTAGAGGGTAGGGAAATTTTATATCATTTTCTAGAGAGAAAAAGAAAGGCCCAAGGTGCAAAATCCAAAAGGAGGTCTAGAGGAAGGAGTAAAATAGCTCATGAGGTTGCATTTCCAACAGACTAGAAGGTAAGGCATGTCAGTGTGCACCGAACAGGACTGTGTCTTTAAGAGACCAATGTTTGTGTTTTCCCATGCTCTCCTATTGTGGAAATAACTTTCTGAGTCATTTCTCTGATCCTGGAGACAAACTGAACAGACACAAAACATAACAAAACACAATAGCAACGGGAAGAGAGAAATTTCTCCCTCCCCCTTCCACCACACATGCATTTTATGTCAGTGATTTTGAACACTCTCAAAGCCTCTGAGTGAAAGAGAAACAAGGCACAGACTGATAACGTTGTTTGTTACACACCTTTTGAATCAAGTTCACCTTCACCACCACTGCATAAATTGTTAAAACTTGGAAGCTACACTCCTCCAGTCTGTTACTTTAAAATATGTTATCCAGTCTCTTTGGTTAAAAGTCTTACCTTCCAGATTTTCCACAGACATTGAACTGCAACAGGAATTTGCTAGCTTTTTTAAACTTCAAAGCTTTGCACTTCAAAGACCCTGTAGTTTTTCTCTCAGGCCTCATGCCCCATCCTCTGCAAAAAAATGTTAGTCTGGGACTCTCTCTCAAAATGCCACAGAAACGTATGTACATCCAAAAATCAACATCACAACTATGATCTTCCCAGAGGAGACTAATGAGATGGGTGTCCCCACAGTGGCCTGCCCCAAATCCAGGCTGTATGAAGCCTTCTTACGTCAAAACACAGAATCG